GAGGTCTGAAAAATAATAAAAATATTCGATTTGAAAAAAAAAGAAATTGATTTCGGTCTTTGATCTACCCAATGCTACTATCTACAGCAGCATCATCGGCTACAACCAACATATCAATATCAATTGATAGTTCTCGTGCACGTTCCATAGCTAAACCAAAATTAAGTCGATCGCCTGTATAATTAAGAATAATTAAAAGTATTTGTTTAGCACCACGACGTTTCATTTCAATAATAAGTCGAAGTATATCAGATGATGGTGGTGATGCAAATATTGAACCTGATATACCTATTAAAATTAAAATTTTTCTTGTTTTTTTTTTCTTCTTTCTAATTCATTTTAAAACATTGACTTACATGCACTTAATAATCCACGGCCAACATAACCAACCTAAAAATGGATTGAGATTTTTTTGAATAATTTATTCATTCTTAATTTACCGTAGCTGGTTCATGACCAGAACCATTTCCACTAATCACAGCTACAGATGGAACTTGTGATCGTGCAATAACAGCTCTACCCATTAGTTCTAAATGACTATGTGCACGAACATAACCAGTAAGTGAATCGTCTACGCATGAATTTATATCGTTTATAAAATATCCAGGCATCTGAAACAATAAATTATAAAAATAGAGTCTATTCAATAAATTGTTTCTTTCTTTTAAGCTATCTAATATGGAGAAGAAAACCCAGCCGGTGTTTTTTTATTATTTTCATTTTGTACACATAGATAAAGAAATCGTTCGCCCATATAATCAGGACTGACTAATTTCTCAACAGCACTTAAAATTTCTTTCTGTTCTTCGGATGTTTTATTGCGTCCAAGTATCTTGAAAAAAAAAAGAAAAATATTCATTGATACAAAGTATTTTTATAAAATTATCTTACTGTTGCTCGTATATCAATACCCAAATTATAGAGAAAATTTCGTTGAGATATTGGTCCATAGAATTGAACTAGAAGTGCATAACAACAAACATGAAATGGCTAGTATATTTCTTTTTATAATAGTGAATATCAAAGATTTATGATGTATATATCCTGATGAAATCATCGAACTTGGTGTATTTTTTCTAGATTTTAATAGTATCTTACCATTTGATATTTGTGTACCACTTAAAGCTAATTCTTCAAAATCAACATCTGCTGTTATATCGATATTTCCTGGATCTGAAAGTGCATCAACAACTTCATGTTTACGAAATCCCTATAGAACGAGTACTTGCATATATTATTAACGAAAAAAAAATCGTTAAAGATAGATACATACACGAAATGTATCTTCTTTTTCTCCCCAATGACCATAATCTCCAATCAAAGCCGAACCACCATGAGTCTTTATATGTTTACATATAGTTTGCATCATTACCGAACTTTGTGGACTGATTTCCACGTGTTGTCTCTCTTTTATACTCATAAGAAACTAAAACAAAAATCAGTCAATTAATAGAAGAAATATGATATATTTATTTTTATTAATATAAAAAACCCTACATTTCGATAAAGTCGACTCATTGCTGTTTGTCTTGCAGACAATACATATTGAAGTTGTTTTGTTATTGGATTCCAATCAATCATAACTTCTTTCCAACCTTGTGAAGTTTTCTTTCGATTACAAGAAAAAAATTTATACTTCATGTTGATTTTTTTATGATAGATAACCTTTTACTTGAAATTTATGTATGGGATAAGCATCGAAGAGTTCATTGGCAATAAAATATGTATTATAAGACTTTAATTGTTTAAGATCATCTATCCATATAAGTGAATAATTACCATTAGGTATTCGATAATCATTAGTAATGACGGGATCAAACTTATAAAACAAAAAACAAAATTTTCAATTATATTTCCTAAGTTTTCTTTTTTTTTCAAATTACCGATCGACCAAGTAATGTTTCAGCTTGACGTCGTCGCATTAGTGGACTAGCTTCATACAAAGCAATGAATGTATTTGTATCAGAATAATTTCGTTTTCTTAATACCTTTAAATTTAGACGTGATGTTTTTTTTTTATCTTTCAAAGATAAGAAATAAAAAGTCTCACTCGAATAATATCATTTGTTAGTGTACCTCGACCAGGTCCTAATTCTACCAATTGCATAGGATTGTTAGCATTTGTTGAATGTTCATACATTACCCATACAGCTAATAACTTAAGTTAGAAAATAAAATAAGAGAATTAAAATTATTAACATCATACTTCGCCAAACATTTGACTAATTTCGGGTGCTGTGATAAAATCGCCTTGCTTTCCGAACACTTCATGTCGTGTGTAATAACCCTTAAAAAAATAATGAAAATAACCAGATTCTTTTTACTAGGTTAAATACAAGTAATATAAGAAGAAGAACAAGAAAAAACTATTAGATTAAATAATGAACGCACATATTTTGGATTTAATAATGATTCACGCATAAATTCAGCCACTGTTATAGGTCCGCCAGATTTAATTCTTGCTGATAGTTGTTTAACTAATCCATTTGTATCTGATGTAGCCCAAACTGTTGAATTAGTTGATGAGGAATTATTATTATTTGATGAAGAACTATTGACACGATCGTTTGTTGTGCTTGATTGATAACGATTAAAAGAAGAAGAATAGATTCGTTGTAGAAAGACAAATGAAAATTGACGAATTGAAAACATCTGAAATCGGTTTGCGTACCTACATAAAGGATTTATGATGTTGATTAGTTTTTTATACAATCAGATGAGCCTTGAAAGCACAATATAATACCGGCATAGTTATTTTTCTCTCTCTTTCTGTTTCTTTCTCTTATGTCTTGTTTGTCACAAATGGAAGAGAAGAAAAGCTCCAATCCTGGCTTTCTTTTTTTCTCTTTTCATCTGGTTGTCTCTCTATCAGTCTGGAGTTTTGCATTTAGTGGGTGTTGCATGTATAATGCAGTTTATCTTAAATGAAGGGAAAACAGACAAGTAGTAACTATCAGAAAAAATAGTTTTTTCGTGTATGACAATTAACTCAAGTAGTTGTCATAATAATATGTTCAGAATAAAAGTACACATAGAAAAAAAAGGATAAGTCTGCTTTCCATTTTCTAAGCATAAATGTTGGGAGTAAACAGAAATATAATTAACCAAGTCTATGTCAATTTTGGTTAAGAATTTTGACAAATAATAAAAGCAGCTACATTCTAATGATTGATACTATACAGCATTTTTTTGTTTCTTGAATTCTCTTTTCTTTCTCGATCACCTGTCAGTATTTTTTCTCTTTTTGTCAATCAATTAATTTTTATACATGAAGACGTTTTTATGAAATCAATTAATAAATAAACTACTTGAATATATTGTAATAACATGTTGTCCTAAAAATTGATCTGGAATAAATCAAATTGCCACCATTCCTGTTTTTTTCTGTCTGACAAACAAAATAAAATAATTTTTTCTGTGTTTTCTATATTTACTGTTGACAACATCCGAACTATATTTAGAGCTAGACAACGGTAGATAAGGCGCACTATCTCCTATTTTATATGTACATATATTAATCTGCTAAAAAAAAGACACCCACTCATTGGTCTATGTTATCGACATATTTCTTTCTTGGTTACTATTTCGAAGTTAAAACTACAAAGAACATATTCGGGTACATCACATATCAACATATATCGTATGCATTTATTAACAAAAAGCTGTTAGCGCAATCCTTGCGAGATTAAAATGTGACACACCACGTAGCTGCTGTTGCTAATCACAGGAACATTGATTTTTTATTCTATCTATGTTGTAACACATTTCTTCACCACCCATCCTTTTACTTAATCCTCCAAAAATGCATTACGAAAATAGTTTAACGAGACTTTATTAATATATGGTCTGTGATCAAATACCAACAACGTTTGTCACGGTGTGTGACGTGACGCACAGTTGTAATCGGTCGGGAATTTTTACACCGGTCCGGTTCAGTCGGTGACCGGCTAGTTTAAAAAACTTTTCAGACCAGTAAAAACCGGCAAAAATAGACCTATTTGTTTGCTCATTTACTGGCGGTTATAAGGAGAGGCTTCAAAAAGCACTCATTTTCGTATTTTTTGCTCAGGTTTTTATTGGTTTTCAAGAGGAAATATGATGTTATAATCGCTTATATCTGTCAATTTTCCTAAAGATGAGTATGCGATGTCTTTTTTTTGTGGGAAAAGGACTAATGCACCCGACACTTGATTGCTAATCAGTAAATTTTGAGTTTTTTCACTTAGGTTTTACAGAAAAAACCTATATTTCTCTTTAAACGACGATTCAACCTTAAATTTAGCCTCTAACAAACCATCAATGAGATAAGTTGAGAACTTTATTCAAAATAGCACAGTTTTGATTGTGCTTTTTATGAAATGAAATAAATTTTGATTAAAAAAATAAAAAAGTTTAGACAAACAGTAGAAAATAAAAAACCTATGATTTTTGAAACAATACGATTATTTTGATAAAATAACTGAAACTTGTTCTCGATATATTTTACTCAGAAAAAATTGTATATCTAGAAAATTCTGAAAGTCATTTTTTGGCTAAAAGCTGAGAGAATCAGGAGTATTTTTCTCGATTAAAAAATTTCTTTAAACCAGTAAAAATCGGTGCAAACCGGCCAATCCAACCATTTTAATCGGCCCGGTTCGGCCGGACTGGTTACAACTCTAACGTGACGCGAGTACATTGCTTAATGTGTCTGTCACGGCCTGTTGATTTGATCTGTAACATTTCCAGGGTAATATCTGCTTCGACACTCCCTTTTAGATCATGTTTCATAAAACGAAAACAACTAGAAAAAAAACGATATTTATCACAAAATAATTATTTTCTTGATAAACTTGTTCTTCATTAAACATAATGCTCATTTTCAATAGAGATGATTATATCTTGGTCACGAATATTTTAGAAATATTGAATAATAGTTATTATCTGGAAAATAAGATAATTATGAAAAAAAAAAACAAATTGAATAATACGAGAAGCAAAAAAAATATATCTATAGATTTTTAATGATTTGTTGAATCAAATACTAATGATGTACCATTAGATGGTACTTTTGTTGGTTTCATATTAATCCAAGGATCTTCTAACATATTTGTACGAAAAAAATTATTAAATTTACGATTAGACGAACTAAACGTAGTTGTTTGATATTCATTATTATTATCAAATGATTGGTCTTGTTGTTGTTGATCAAAGTTTGTGTCACGAATATGTGAACGATGAGCGTCACCACCACGTTTATTGTATGAATATCGACCACGTTGTGAGAAATCTAGAATTAAAATTATAATTAAAATAAATTAAATAATAATAAGGAAAAAACCTTACCACCACGTTGTCGTGCTCGTGAATTAGATGTTGGATAAGGACCTATGGCAAAAGAAAAATTAATAATGTAATCAAGTGGATAACATATACCTTGGTAATGGCTTCGTCCACGAAAACGAGTTGAAGAATCTTGCCATGATGATGGATTTGTTCCGAATGAATGATAAGAATCAAGTGATTCATTTGGTGGAAATTCTTGTGAATTCATATTTGGATTCATAATTAAATATAACTAAATGTAAAATAGTTTATTTCTAAGTTATGATATTCTTTCTTTCGAAAAATGAAATTTCTTCGAGAAAAAAAAAACAAAAAGAAAAAATGACGGATATTACCATTGGCTGTCTAACCATCGAAACAGAATGTCTTCGTACGACATTGCAGTGGCTGTTGCTTAGTTTCAAAAACACAAAATGGCTATAGTAGATTCTTTTTTCTCTTAGCAAACAAAACTAACATATCAACCTGTTGTCTATTCAATGGCTGTACGAGCACCTCGTTTGCAATCAGCTAAACCTCTTACACTTTCACGATGGTTTGATTTGAATTTATTCAATAGATTAAAAAATCAATTTTTTAAAAATTTTATTCAGGTGGACTAATGGTTACCATGGTCAATCAATAGCATTTGTCGATCAAACGGTATTATTCTATGCTGTTGATGATGGTTTACGTTTTCATGATTTTACTGATAATGATAATCAAACATGTATAACAAGACAAGCTAATGGAATTGGTGTTGGAGTTATTGTATGTTGTTTTTTTTATTTACCGCATCAAAAAAAAAAACTTTTATTGTTTTTATTTTAGGCTGGTAATGCTGATATGCATTTATTTGCTTTTGCTGATTATCAAAATCCACCAATAATTCATTTATGTCAATATCCATCATTAGATGAAATAAAGCAATTTACTGATGGAGCTGAATTTGAATATAGTGCATTGAAATTTTCAACAACTGAAGAATTATTATCACTTTCAACATCACCAGATTATTTATTAACTATATGGAATTGGCGCACTGGTATAAGATTAGCACAATGTGAAACAACAAAAAAACCGTTAGTAGAAATTAGTTTTAATCCAAATTCTTGGTACGATATTGGAATACTTTATCGTGATCAAATTAATTTTTATACATGTGAACGACGAAATGATAAGTATGTTTTATTTGAACGACAATTAACATTAGAATTATTTAATCAAACTGTTGCTCATAATCAACCAACACATCAACAAACAAAAACTAAACAATCAAATCCACTTAGAGGTATAATAAAAAAAATAAATTGAGTTATTTTTCTTTTTGAGTTTTTCTATTAAATAAATATTTTAGTTGCTGATGTTATTCGACGTTTTCCAAGTCGATTTTCATTTACATTAGTTGATAGTACTGTTGGAACAGATCAGGGAACAAGCGTAAAACTTGTTGGTATGTATATTTCAATTAAATCCGAATTAGAACATCTATGGTTGGAAGAATAACCTTGTCCTAGAGCTACCTTGCGGTATGACTAGTCGGACACAGAGTTCTTGCACTCAATTACGTGAGCTGTCCATACACATTAACTAGTCAAAAGAGCAGGTGTATGTCACAATGTAGTCAGCATGTCTGATGACGAATGATCCAAGACAGATAGCTGTTAGTGACTCGCTTAAAGTCATTTCATGGCTCGTGATATAGAAGTTTGCACACTCAAGCCATGAACACCTTGAGAAGAGTTCGGGCTAATAGCTTATTACTTTCGAGATATTGTATTTTAACCGTATTTTTTACAAGAGGGAAAAAGCGGATCCTGGTGGATCCTTGGATCCATTAGGATCCATAGGATCCACGAGGATTCAGGATCCGCTTTTTCCCCTTGATTTTTTAGCAGTATATATCGTACCCCTTCGAAACACTGAGTTTTGAATTTCAACTTAAAACTTGGTGTAGAGATATGGCTTCATTGCAAAAGTTTCAGATCTTTTGATCGCTCCTATCCTAAGATATGATCATGGTAAAAGCATATATTTCATGTCGCCTATATACAACCGCCAATTTCGATGTTCAAATTTCAGAATAGGTGTTTCGGTTTTCTGAGGGAACCACGACATTCTGCTGAAAACCACAATAATAATACAGTATCTCGATAGCAATTAGCTATTAGTTCGAACTCTTTTCACACTATTTAAAGTTCATTAGAACTTGCATAATACACATAGTCCCAACTCAAAAGCACTTTCACACTTAAAAACATTCCAACTTCAGCCATGACGAAGTCTAGTCTTGATTACATAAGGATATTGAAAATAACTGTACTGCATGATTTTTTTTTCATAGCATTTGATAATGAAAATGAAGATGCTTTTCAAACATATATCGATGAAAAAATTCAACTTATTGCAACGTCATTTTGTTGGGGTGATAAAGGTTATGTATTTATTGGTACAGCTGATGATTCTCTTATTCAAATACTTTTACAATTTGATCGTGAAAAACAACCATTTCGTGCAACACGTTTTGCAGAAGAAGAAAAATTTAAACCACATGGTTCAATAGGAATGTTTAAAAAAATATCTCTACATAAACTTGGTTTATTTTGTGTTGGTTCAGATCATATTGTTCGTTTAATCACATTTGAAAATCAAGATGGTACATTACAAGAAGCAAATAATGTTAATGATGTTATGGAATTAAATGCTAATATAACAACAATAATATTTAATCAAGCATATAATAATTTATTTATATGCTCAAAACAAGGTGTTGATATATTTGATTTAGTAACAATGGAACCAAAACAATCAACTCTTATTCCAATTGCACTTGGAAAAATTGTTGATATAGCACTTGTTAATCCATCTAGTGAACTAGTTGTTACAATACGAGATTCAGGTACTTTAGAAGCTTGGTCAATAAGTGATGGTTCAAGAAAATTTTCAACACATATTGATAATCAAGTGATTAGTCATATAGTTACAAGTCCTATTTTACCATTGATTGTTGTTACTTCTACGACGGGTATTTTTAATTTTTTTGAAGTTAACACAGATGGTTTTCGTCTTATACATCGTTTTCGTGTTCATTCAAATGATATACGTTGTATTAAATTTAATTCACATGGTACAATACTTGTATCCGCTGGTATTGATAATAGTTTATTTATAATGGAAATCAAAACTGATCAAATATTAGTTGATAATATATTTCAAATAATCTATCGAACAGATCTTGATGGTGAACCATTTGCACTTGATTTAGATGATTTTGAAAAACAACGAAGTAATATTGAACATGATGATCAACATCAACAACATGAATATGATGATGAACATATTGGAAATATAAAAGATAAATCAAATGAAACAAGAATTATTGTTGCATTAAATACAAAAACAGAAAAGTATGGTCGATTTTTTATTATCGATTTTGATTGGCAACAATATCGAGGTAAACTAAGTTAATAAAATGATTTTATAGTGAAACATGATCTAAATCACAGACTATGATGGATTTTGTTGAATGTGTTTCAAGATAGATAGAACAAAACAATCATCTGGTGATTAGTAACAGCAGTTACATCGTGTTTCACATCTTAATACCTCAGAAATTGCACTAACAACTGTTTAATATTTGCTTTTTTTTTTCTATTCAGAAAATCGAAATTTACAAACATCAAGTACAAGTGAATCATATATAGATTATGTTATTAATGATACATCAACAAAAATAATAACAAAAACAAATTTTGCTATTTATGATACAATTGACGATTTTCTAATAACAGCTAGAAATCAATTAATTACACTAGGAGGAGCATCGTTAAGAATGTGTCGTATACCAGATGAAATTGGCAAGGTAAGACAAAAAAAATGATCAAGAGAAAGAAAATTTTACGACAGATTTATATGTAAACAGAATAAAACTGAACGACGAGGACGACGAGGCGTGAGAATGATGTTTTTTCTCATTTTTTTTGATGATGCTATTTTATGCTTTAATCAATGGATCATTTTTTTTTCCTTTGATTTGATTTCTTTTTCATTTTGATGATCTATTACTGTGAATAGCTTTGATTATTGATTATTTTCTCATACAGGATTCAAAAAATCGTCGATTTAAATCAAAACGAGATGTATGATAAATTCGAAAAAAAAAAAAGAAAAAAAGCTACTTTTAATTTTGCTCTTTTATTTATCTTATTAGTCTTTTCAAATGTTCTTATTTTTTGTTTGTTTGTATATTTAGTTAGGAAAATTAACCAGTGTTGAACCACAAGATTCACTTGCTGGTTTGCCTTCTTCTGGTGGTCATTTATACAAAAACAAAGCAATACCATCATGGATAATTTGTATTAGTCGAGATGGAATTGTTTCAATGATTCGTGCTTCAGATATGGTATTTTGTTGTAATTGATAGAGATTTTTAAAACAAAAATTTTCTTTCTATTGTTCAATAGGCAGTAGAATCATCAATACGTGCACATAGTTCACTTTCAGGTGGATGCAATAAATCTGCATGGAGTGTTGATTCAAAATATATTGTTTCTGTTGCTGAAGATAATTCGATTGTTGTTTTTCAAACAAAGTCATTTTAAATTAATGAAATAAAAAAAAGAAAATTTTAATTTTTGTTTATTCTTATCTAGATATGCTGGTCGACTTATGCTACGTATGGGTCATTCATCAGAAGATATTAATCATAGAATGAGAAATTTAGCAAATCTTGTTACTTATGAAAATGCATCATCTGCTTTATTTGAGAATATTTATAATCGATTTGTATGAAGTTGTTATTTTTTATACTTACAAATAATTTGAATTAAATTTCTTTTTACAGAGAGAATATCAAACAAAATTTCAAAATGTTAATATGACGCCACCATCAGCACCAAAAGAAGATTCATCATGGTTACAATTAAAAGACTATGAGGTTTAGTTATTATTCTTCTTCTTATTATTATTTAGTTAAATAAATAAGTTTTCTTTATAGACTACATTACAAAATCTTGATACACATTTAACATCAAAAATAGAAATTCGTAATGAACTTGAACGTATTCGAAAAGAAGTATGAATTCTATTTTTAAAATATATTTTGTGAAAACACAATCTAAATGGAGTATTGATGTATCGGCGTAAAAAATTTGAACTTCTCTTGCGCTGTGAGCATTCGAATGGACATTGAGTAGAAAATTAAGCATTAGTCGAAAAACGCTGCTAGTAAGAATTAGAAGC